TGTTATATTTTTTTGATTTTGCGTGCAATGAAGTTTATGATACGAAAATATTTATGTGTAATTACTTCGTATAACAAGCTATCGTTTTACTAAATCCGAGCAAAATCGCTATAGTTATTCATCCGAAAACACGTACCAAAAAGAACACATATAAAACACTTTCACGTCAAAAATAATCTCTAAAATACGCATCACAGATCACTTTTAACTAAAAAAACTTAATATACAAACACCGCCACCAAAATCTTGATTAATTTACTCACAATTTTGTAATCCATTTTAACGATTTACTTATGTCGTGTCTTCGAGTGTCTCGTAAACAAATGTGCTGGCTGGTGGCGACGTACCTTCTTATACTACGCATTGTTGATAGCCCCCTCTAGTTGGCTAGCGGGGGAAAAGACTGGCCATAAAGTTTCATGTATGTTACATTTTTTTTAATATTTAAAAATGAGGCTAATTAAAAACATCCCTTATCTATGGTATGGTGATAAATGAAGCCAAAGAGTTTCATTCACTCACCACACGACATTCACGATACATAGAATCATGTTTGACGGTCTATTGTCTTTGTTTCCAATGGGAGACAGTCGTGGCGACAATATGTAGGTAGGTGTCTATTATATTGAGCGAATTGAGCATATAAAGATATCGTTCTTTAGATATCCCCTGAAGTTTCATGTCCTTAATAGATCCCTTATTATGTTATTGAAAAAATGTTCTGGAAGGGTTTTAAAAACAGCAAAAACTTTTTTTTTAAATAAAAAAATTGACTTGTTTGTCGTTGGTAAACTCTATGAAGAAGTACATCTTATAGTCATTTATTTTATTAGTAATCCTCAAATTTCCAATTCCCAAAAGGCCGGTAACGCACTTGTACGCCTTGGTGTTTCGGGTGTCCATGGGCGGCGCCGATTGCTTACCATCAGGTAATCCGTCTGCTGGTTTACCGGCTTATGCTATATAAAAAAAGTACGAGGGGTAGGTAGAGCTGCATGTATTAACTGCCTGCAATAGTTCCAAATACAGTCTTTAAATACTGAATTTGTAACGGAAATATTTGTTCTACTGCGTGCTAAATACTTGCGTTTGCGATTATTACCTAGACTAAAGAGGCGATTAAAGTAGACATTAAGTTTTGTTCCTTATGAGCTATTTAAGTATTAAGGAATTTAGTTTTAGTGTTTAATGATTGGTTTCATGTGTCAGGACTGGAACGGAACAACGATGTTCCAGTAATAGGCCAAATTGCGTGAGCAGAACTGGTTGGGTTAAAAATCACGGGTTATTCACGTGAACATCGTAACGTCGTCGCGACCGCGCACGATGCTCATGAGGAAGAGCCCCTCTATGGCTCGAAACTAGTAGAGCTTTTCTCGGTACATTCACGCGAATAATCCGCGATTTTTAATTAAACTGTCAAACACCAAGCGGTCACCGGTGACCGCAACCTATTGTTCTATAATTGTGTCTACAAAACCGGTACTCGACGAGTTAATTTAGTGTCTTCCGATAGTTATTATAAAAATATTGTTGGTTTTTGTCTGAAACTTCGTCTGCTTGGTAGAATTAAAAATGTTTTGTGGTTTAAACGTGCAAGCGTAACAAACGGATGTTTTCGGATGTGGAACACATAATTAGTATTCGTATATATAGTATCTATGTCATAGTTGTAAGCATTGATAGTTAGAGATTAATACTACATATTACTTGGCAATAGTGCCTAAAACGTCCAGATTTTTATTAGTCTATTTAATACCCATGTGTAGTAGTGGTCCAGAGGTTTAAGACGCCCGCTTCTCATGGGTCTGAAACCTACCAACGGCAAGTACTAATCTGACTTTTTTCGAGTTATATGCACTTTCTAAGATTATTCAGATACCACTGACAAACGGTGAAGGAAAAGATAGTGAGGAAACCTGGGCTTATAATTTCTAATTTAATAATTTTAAACTTATGTTTGTAATCGCTGAACCGCATTGAGCAATCGTGGCGATTAGTGCTCAAACCTTCTCCGTGGCAGGCCTTTGGCTGATGATTGATGATGAACCAATACCATAAATCAAATCTTTCGTCTTTCTAAAATTAAAATTGAATTATATTATTGTACTAGCTTTTGCCTGCGACTTCGTCCGCGTGGAATAGTGACTTCCGGCAGAAAAGTATAGATAGCTGTGCCCGCGACTCCGTCAGCGTGTAACTCCTTGTGTATTAAGTTAATGAATGGAGTAACTTCTCCCGTTTTCCCAATATTTCCCTTCACTGCTCTGCTCCTATTGATCGTAGCATAATGAAAAGTATACTATAACCTGCCCAAGAGTATATAGAATAATTGTGCCAAATTTCGTTAAAATCCGTCGAGTAGTTTTTGTTTCCATAACGAACATACAGACAGACAGACAGACAGACAAAAATTTTACTGATTGCATTTTTGGCATCAGTAGCGATCCCTAACCACCCCTTGATAGTTATTTTTTAAATATATTTTATGTACAGAATTGACCTCTCTACAGATTTATTATAAGTATAGATTAAAACTTCATATACAAAGTCCCTCAAAATCCCAATTAGGTTCGTAGGTAGTACATTTATTTTGGACAAATTTATACAATCTCGTTAGCGATAGGTACGTCTGGGTTTTAGCTGAAAAATGTCGAATTCGACGTGGTGGCACACAGGCAACATAATTGGTTTTTGTTAAACTTTCTGGCTAGATTAAAAGGCCTTGATTGGATGTGTGTGAAAAAAGTTGCCGCGCCACTCTGACTAACAGATTGCTTTGGAACTAATTAAAGAAATGTGTAATTTGTGCTAAGTAATGTGTTAGTTAGACTTTATTTAGGTGAGCTACAAAACTTCTCGTGTCATAGTAGATCAGGTCGAAATCACTTCTGAACTATAAGGACTTTTTCAAGTTTATAATACTCTTGCAGTTGATTCGTTCAGACTCAGACATCATTTTTTTTTAATAAACGTTGCCCCACTTTTGGATTATCTTCCGTGTCGTGGGTGCGTTGACAAATATACAAGTTCACATACACATCATTGAAATATGATGAAGGAAAACATCGTGAGGAAACCTGGACTTGTAATTCTAAATTATAAGTTTGAACTGCCTCGGGTCGGACAAAATATTACTAAGATTCAAAAAAAGAATCACAGTACTACCTACCATGTAGTTTGAAATTGTGTCTGGTATATGGCAATAGGCTCACCCTTTATTACATAGGACTCAGAACATAAATAGTGAGAAGTGGGTGTTTTATTGATTTTATTGATTGGCATTAAGTGCCGTTATGTGCACCTTTGCCTACCCCTTCGAGAATAAAAGGCGTGATGTTATGTTAAGTTTGAATTCGCTCATCCACTTTAAGCAAACCTGTGGGTTAACTATAGTCTTTATTAATACTAGTCTACTTAGACTACGGATACTTATAACGTCCGGACAGGCTTCCATGCCTCTAAATTACAGAGGTTTTAATTTACATCTTGCAGCTATGAGTAATATTTTCCACAAGCCAATTTAATGCATTAAATAAAACTCCACCATCAGCGAAACAAAATTCATTTCTTTATAATATGAGCACTTCTATCCAGGGCTTATTATACTCAAGATTAAAATTAAATATGGCCGCTTTACATTCCGCATATTATGTTCTGTTTATTTCACACTGGCTTTCTGCCTAGTGTTATTAATAGTGGAGTTTAATGTGTTTATTGGTCCAGTAAGTAAGTAGATCCCTTTGAAACCTAGCTTGAGTTGAAGTGTTATTTGTGCGATTAACGGTATTTAAAGCGTCAAACACCACGAGGACACCGGTGACCGCAACCTATTGTTCTATAATTGTGTCTACAAAACCGGTACTCGACGAGTTAAAGTGTCAAACACTGCGAGGACACCGGTGACCGCAACCTATTGTTCTTTAATTGTGTCTATAATGACGGTATTCAACGAGTTAAAGGGCGTGCTGGGTAGTTTGGTGATGGCTTTAACCAGATCTAAGGTTCAGAAACCATCATCACCATCATCCGGAATGAAACCACCCACTGTTACATAAAGGCCTCCCTCTTAAGAGAAAATTATCCAAAATCGCCACGTGTGGTAGTGATACAATTGGTATGCTTAAAGATCGCGGCTGGTTCACCAGAAATGTATGGGTGTCTGCAAGGCTCGAGTCAATAGGTTGCTTATAGGCAGACGTGTTCTATCGTAGGCCGCATCATCGCTTACCACCAGGCGAGATAGTGGCAAAACGTCACGTCGGCCCATCAAATATAAACTTCCTGCCTCGCACAGCAAAACTGTGGAATGATCTGTCGTCGGCGGTATTTCCGAACCGATACGACCTTCAAACCTTCAAGAGAAGAGCGTACTCCTTTTTAAAGGGCCGGCAACGCACCTGTGACTCTTCTGGTGTTGCGGGTGTCCATGGGCGGCGCTGATCGCTTACCATCAGGTGATCCGTCTGCTCGTTTGCCTCCTATTCCATAAAAAAAAATAAAAAAAATAAATAAAAACGATTTGTATAAGATACTAACACTCATCTCATGGTGGCTGACCACACTTTATCTCTAACTAGCTTCTGCCCGCGACTTCGTACGCGTAATCCTATTTTTCCCGTCCCCGTTCGTGATTTTCGGTAAAAAGTAAAAAAAAAAATTGGTCAAAAAGTATCCTATGTCGGTCTCCTGGCTCTAAGCTACCTCCCTACCAATTTTCAGCCAAATCTATTCTGCCGTTGTTGAGTTATAAGTGGTGTAACTAACACGACTTTCTTTTATATATATAGATAATATTCATAACTTGGTCCTAGACGAAATTGGACTAAGTTTTCTATAATCTTGAAGTTTGCACCTTTGTAACTATACTGTAATGTGTGCTACTTATCCCTTTTGGGAATAAAAGGTATTACAACAGCTTAGAAATACAATTTTAGATTACCTGTCAGCTTTCCTCTTCCCCGACTTGTACAAGTCTCACTGGGTATTCCAACCCGTTTCCTACATGCATCTGTATTTACATATTTATTGAATTATTATCTCCTAACACTACAGTATTAAGTTTTATATGTCTACCGCTAACATCTCCGAAAAGTATGCTAATGTTGTCTTACGTTTACATTACAATAACAATGAAATATGTTGTGTGAGTCGTTTGCTTTAGTATTTATTATTATGTAGTTTGTTTTTTTTTTACCGCCTTCAAAAGAAGTACTATGTTCGGATGATTGTTGTTTTTTCGTCGACTTCCAAATCGACCGATTTCAAAAAGGTTATACTCCCAAGAGGGTCCCATGAATCAGGTCACTATCTGATTATAGAATTCTAGGGAAAGCGAGAGGTCAAAGTCAAAGTCAAAGTCAAAGTCAAAGCATTTATTTCAATTAAACCATAGTTTGGTACTTTTGAAACGTCAACAAATACAAAATAAATAATAGTCTGTCAGTCAGTCCGTCAGTGAAGCTAGGTGAAGCTAGGTGCTCATTCCAAAACGTAGATTCGAATGGAGAAGAACGAGCAAGAAACTCCATTCGTTACTCTTTTAAAAAAGTATGTGAGTACTTTGTGAAAAGTATGTGAGTACTTTGTACTTTTAAGTAAGTATGTGAGGATCTTTCAATCTAATTGGGAGGATCTTAAATGATTATGTAACTTTCATACTACTAATATACATAA